GAATGGCGCCCTCGCGGAGCCGCTGGGTGCGGAGGGAGCCGCACAGCGCACTGCAGGATGCAGCCCTCGCGGGTTTTGCCATAAGCAGCTCAATGCACGCTTAAAGATGAAGAAAATAACTCAAGAGAGGTGTTGGTGATGAGAGCCGCACGGGTTTTAATTCTTCCTTCTTCCGTAGCAAGAGGCCAGGTTTGACAGCTCGCTCTGCGGCTCCGTGAGGGCACCGATCCCTGCAGCAACCAACGCCTGCGGCTCAACCCAGCCCAAATCTGCTGCAGGGGAGACCTCCCTGAGCCGGGCAGGAGTGAGAGGCTCCGAAAGCACCCGCCCCATGGACCAGAACCAGCACCAGTCCAACCACCCTCCCCTAACACCCAAACCACCTCCAGGCACAGCCCAGGACCGCGTCTGACCCAGCCCTGCCGCTTCAAACCCTCCTTTTCCCGCAGTTTGCTCATCTCACGTCCAAGTGAAAGGAAACGCAGCAGAGGCCATCGCACTCACAGCAGCAGCAGCAGCTGCCAGCGCCGGGCTGTGCCCTCGGAGGTGCAGGAGCATCCCCACGTTGGCCGTCCCTGCGTGTGGTCCAGGCGCGATGCGGGAAGGGGCCGTAGGGACAGCAGGAGCATCCGGGAAGGGGGAACCAGGCTCGGAGCTGCATGCAAGGTGCACAATTCGGAGGGGGGCTCCTATTGCGATGCCGGCGAGAGGTGAGCCCCATGCTCAGGGGAGCAGGAGACTCCAGCGCTGGTGCCCGAGGATGAAGCCGAGTGCCCAGGAAAATAAACTCAGCGGCAGCCGTGAGTACGTTCAGCGAGGGGACGCTCCCCCGCGTTCAATAGTGTTTAATCTTCACCTAGCTCAACACAAATCAGTAGTGCAGCAATATAAATACAACCGAGGAAGTTAAAGCCTTTTGGCTTTCATAGCTCAAGAAAAAAAAAAAAGAAAAGAAAAATAAAAGCCAATGAAACAAGTTTCCAGTTTTTAAATTAAACGCAAGGGAAGGCAATAAACTGCCCGCCCACCACTGAGGAGCAGTGGCATCCTTCATGCCAGCAAAGGGCCGATTTGTGCCTGAGGACGGGGGTGCAACTCATGGAAGCAGCACAGTGAGGGGTTCGGGGAAGGGGAGCCACGCTCTGCTCCCCGGGCAGCACCGACACGGCCCTGGCGCTCACAGGTGATGCCCTCGGTACCCAGAGCTCCCTTTTCCACTGATGGACACCGTGTGCTGTGTGGCTGTGTCAGGAGCTCTGGGCCATAACGTGGGGGTGCTCGGCTGCCGGGGGAGCAGCAGGTGGCTGGGAACTGGGGAAACCAAGCCCTGTTTGCCTGGCTTGTGCAAATCTTCAGGGAAAAAAACCAGTAAACCACAGTATATGGCATTTCCTAACCGAGATATGGTTTATGTCCAGACTCGCGGACGGCTTGGGACCACCAGAAGGTGCTGGGGCCACTGAACGACATCTCACAGCAGATGCTGGATGCAGGGAGCAAAGGTGGGTGTCCTGCCCCGGCACCCAGCGCTTGCAGCAGAAGGGGTCTCCTAGCACAGCCCATTACCACAGAGGGGTCAGCTCCTCACGTCTGAACAGGCTCCGCTGTCACCAACGCTCCCCGTGAGGAAACCTGACCACAACTCAGCACAGCTACAAATCCCTCTCCTACCTGCAAGCGGATGGAGTGTGACCATAGCGTTTCGATTGCCCCTCCTCGACACTCCAAAAAGCAGCCAAGTGCATGTGAAAGGACAACTCTAAATTAAATTAGTGCTTAAACCATTCAGGGAAGGTGGGAGTAAAGGAGAACGAAGCTGTTTGACAGCAGGAGTAGCCCGTGGTGGGCGAATGGAGCCTGGCAGGAGCTCAGAGCACCACTCAAAGCACAGCTCCAAGCACAGCCTTGACCTTCCTTCTCCGAGCAGCTCCAAGCCCTCGGGTGTTTCCTTCACTGCAGCCCGAGGGGGACAGGAGGGTCCTGCACGTTCACAGCTGCTCCGAGTGGCTCTGTCCTGCCGCTCTCCGGATGCCAGCGCTGTCCTTTCTCAACGCTGGGGTTCACAGTTGCCTTCTCCTCCCTTTGATTTCCCTTGAAGTTCAAATTCAAGTACAACCAGTTTGAACTGAATGAAAAAAGAAACCCACGAGAACAGAGTCATTCTTTTGTGAAACAAGTTAGCAGCGTTGTCCCAACCAAAGCGGCCTCCAAAGGCCCCTGCAGCAGAGGGACGGGAGCCTTCCCCGCTATAGGATTTCCTCCCGCTGGTTCTTGGGTTTCAGCGCCACTTGGCCGTTGCGCACGGAGCCGTTCTGGCTGCGGAGCAGTTTCCCTTTCTCGCGGTCAGGCCAGGTGAAGATGGCCTCGTCGCTGTCCAGCTCGGACTCCGAGTGCATCAGGCTGGTGTTGAGGACCTGGGCTTTCTGCCTGCCACCTTCGAAGGAGAGAGATTCCCAGGTTAGAAATGCTTCTCACCCCGGTCAGACACCTCGCCGCACTCCATTCCCCCTCGTGTCGAAGGGGCAGCCTAACCAGACGTGTTTGTGTCTGTCACTTATTCCCTCAAATGCTGAAGCCAAAGTGCTCCCGTTTCAGATACTTTGGCACAACAGGGGTCACGCAGACACTTCAGGAGAGCGCAAAGCGCCAGGTAGGAAGGCAAATGATGTTACCAGAAGGGGCTGTGAGCATTCGTGGGAGCTGTGCCTCCCTGACCTTGCTCGGGGCACTGTCTAGAGAGCTCTGAGGGCCAAGGGCTGTAGTAAAGAGAACACGCAGGTGTGCGAGGGAAGATCACTACCCTCCCTGCTCCCATCTCTGCTGCTCTTGCCTGCAAGGGAAGAGATAAATTAACAGGCTGAACTTAGATTAATGCACAAGGACGGGAGAGAGACATTCACCGATGTTGTCAGCAGAGGAAATATTTAAATTTAGCTTTTCCTTAATGGAGAAATGCAACATTTCCTCTGTTAGCAGAATGCTCCCTGGACGTATCTAGCAGGGAAAAAGACTTTAGTCAGCAGCCAGCCTCGGAAGCAGCAAGATGGGTTTGGTTACCAGAGAGCAAACGGCTGAGGCACATTTGCTGCAGAACAAGGAGCCCTTTATTTAACAGCGGGGCTGTTCCATGTGAGGTGGCAGATGGTCACATTAAAGCAGAGCTGGGTGCTGAGGGAGGACAGAACACGTGGTTTTAGTTCAAGGGTATCCGTGTTGGTGCAGTTGGGACGCCCGGGTCCTCAGAGGAGTTGTTGGATCAGCTCTGTCGCTGCCATGCCCTGCAACGCTGCTGTTGGGCACTGCTCACTTTGCTGGAGCACCGTTACATGGGCTCATCAATGATTTTCCATGGCAAACAAGGGTCAGTTAACGCACAGTTAAGATAACCCTTCCTCAGGACAAAACCAGGATGCAGGCTCTTGTTTGAAATGTGTTATTTCAGCGCTCCCCAGCATTCGGTGTCACTGTCACTGTCTGTCACTGTCCCACCTCTCCCTCCTTTCCCAGTCACTCACAGGCGACCATGGCTTGGTTCAGGTGTCAGAGCCAACCGCAGCAAAAACGCTCACGTCTGAAATAACTCCAGGATCTTTGCAAAGTGCCTGACAGGACAGCAATGCAGACAGGAAAGCGCTGGCTAAGAACACTGAGGATGAACGACGGCCTTTCTGGAATGGGCCAATGGCTTCTGGCAAGAAGGGAACAGCCAGAGGAGAGTGGAAAGCCTCAGAGCAAGAGGAGTTACAGCCAAGACCCAGTGTTGGGCCTCCTGGATCAGGCTGGTCTCTGCACAGCCTACATGCACCCACTGACTACTTCTGAGATAGGAAGTGGAGACTTCAGGACCAGACCAGTTTCAGCTCCAGTTTCTAAACCAAAGCGTGAGATAACTTGACTAAATACCCCATCTACCGATCTGAAACAAGCTCTCAGATCTTCTGAGGCTCGGCTGTCAGTGCCAAGCATCACGTTTGTTTCACTCTGTGATTTTTAAGTCCACGGAGGAAGAGTGTTCTTAGTCAGCAACCTGGAAATGCTGAGCTCTTTCCCACTCAAGTTTTACCTGCTTTGGGATTTGGTTTTAACTCCAGGCTTTCTTGATCCGTCGCATCCAAAATCTTGTATTTGCTTTTTCTTTTGGATTTTCCTTTTCGTCTAAAGGGGAAGAAAAGGAATTCAGAGGCATTGCTAAAAAAGCTGGAAGGAAAAAAACAACTCTGATCTTCAAAGCTAGAGTACTTGCTTATTTCAGATTATGTCCATATCACAAAGCAAAACATTAACAACATCTCTTCAGTCGCACATTCATAGGCTAATCCAAATCTTCCTTCTTAACTGAGCCCAGAGTTCTAGGACTTTGATGTTCTACTTGAAACACTGAGACACAAAAACTACCATCCCAGGGCCGTGCAGATGAGCTGCTGGGACACGGGTTTGCAACCTTCACCTCCCACTGCAGCTACTTGGCTCTGCAGCTCTGACAGAGCCGGGTTACGGCCTCAGTCCCACCTCTTGCAACAGCAGATCACCATCCAGGACAAGATTCCACAGGCAACCACAATGATGAAGGATGCAATGATCACGTACAGCACACTCCACTCTGAAAGCAAAAGAGATAAAGATGTTGTGGCACCTCATACAGTCAGTGTGTGCTTTTGATGACTGTTCTTGAGAAACAAAGAGAAAGGCCTGGCCCTTTGCAGAACCGGAGGTTAGCACCCCTGACAGCACCACTAACACCTACAGGAGCCGGAGGTTTGAGATCCTGTGTGCACACTCGCTGCACAAGGGCATTTTCAATGTGTGCTGATTTATCAAATTTGCTTTCCTGTGGCAGGAAAGCCCCTGTAGGGGCATAACAGAATAAAGGTGTGATTTGTAAGCTAAGAGTGGACTCAACTCCTAGTGAGTGTTCACCGAGAGGGTCTGAAGAGGAGTTGATTCCCTAATCCAGTATCAGCAGCCTGGAAGGTAACGTGCAGCAAGACCAGGACAGGGACTATCTCCTCATAGGGGCTATCTCCCTCAGGGACTACTCTGCCTGCTCTGGGTTTCAAACACTGTGAACATCCCCAGGGAGGTGGCACGTACCACAGTTGCTTTCGCCGTCCCCCATCCGCGCCCTGACGAAGTTCTCCATCCAGAAGGGGTCACAGACGCAGCGCTTGGTGAAGGAGTCACAGCGGCCGTGCTCAGAGCAGTTCAGCTGACACGCTGGGGACCAAAACCAGCAGGGTGAACGGAACGACTCGCACGCCAGGCAGAAAGGGGACAGCAGAGCTCAGTGCAGCCAACCCCACAGGCTCTGCCTTGAATCCTTTCACTCTGCAGCTCACCCTCCTAGCTTAGCCATACAAAGCGCACACATAAGCACCGAGGTCTCATGTCAAATCAGAAAGTCACGCTTCCCTAACAGCATAACACTCTTAACACACCTAATAAATCATGATTTTCATATAAAAGTTATGGAATTTGTGTATTTCTTAAGCAAGTGTTTTTAAGTAAGGTTTTGATTTTCATACCTGTAATGAATTGGTAAATAACTGATTAATGCATAGTCTAACAGAGTTATTTTTCTGCTTCCCATTTGCTAACACAAATGGAGTGAGCGTGTGTGTGCGCGCAAGGTGTTTCAGCACACGTGAAGAAGGCATCTGAGAAGGGAAAAGGCAGTAACCCACACCAGAGTGACTCTTACTTACTGACTGTGTTGATTTCCAACGCCCGGAAGATGAGGAAGTCTGACTGCTGTTTCCGCAGTTCATTTTTCAGCGTCCAGGCTACCTCTCGTCCTTTGAAGATCTGGTGGGGAGGTTGGTTTTGTACAAAAAACACCATCTTCGTGCTGAAAATCAGACAAAAACGATTATCTGCTGTTTCTCCAAACATCACAGAGCCACTCTCCCCAGTTAACCCATTGGAGGGATTTATTCAGAATCCCAAATTTATTTGAAGGCCACATTTCTGGCCTCGAAAGCAATAATGGCACAGAAAAAGCCAGAAAAAACAAGTGTGGAGGATACCGTATGCTGCATCTTTTATTGCACTCACTTTATGACAGAAGAACTTGCTCCCCTAGGCTTGCTAGCCTTGCAAAGCCCTGTGCATCCTTCAGATTCACAGAAGGATGTATGAATGTTTCAGATTTATTATTACCAGGGAGCCTATGAGTCAAAAGGTTATTAGTGAAGCCCTCAGAGTATGCGAAAAAACAGCAGCTGGGGTGGGGGGGAAAGATCTTTTTAAACAGTACAAGTTACTTTGATAGCTGAGGCAAAAACGGGATTTTAAAGCCACCTGTCAGAAAATAATCTCTGTTCTTTTATAAAACTTCCCACCCTTTTGTCTGCTTAATAAACATACAAACAGACGAAGCATTAATTACAAGAATCCCTCACCTGCCTGACTCAGTGAAGAACAGTGGCAACTGGCCTGGTCATGGCAGAGACAGCAAGGTGCCATTACAACAGAAAGTGCTGGGTCCTCTGTTCTGAGCTCTTTAGGTCTGCACGGACAATCAATTCTGATTTGACTGCTACAGCGGGCAACGTGGACACGAAGGAATCGATACATTACTGAACCCAGGAAAGTCTAAAGCAAAACTGCAGATCTATTGCTGACTTGCTGTGTGACTTAAAGCACTGAGAAAAGATGTAAGGGATGTGCTTCATCTGCCTTAAAACTACCCCCCCCTTAGTAAAAGTTAAGTGTAATACTGCACTTATTTCAGCAGATTACCACTCTGCCCTCGAGGAGTCTGTTGCCATGCCGCTCACATGCATGTTCAGACATCCTCAAAGCACCTACAGTAACGAGACCGCTGCTGGTACGGAGATTTGTGCAGCTCTTGCTGTGACAACCTCCAGCAAGTTTTGTGCAGAGGGGTGAGTTTCCCAGACCAGCCATTTGTGCAAAGCTGAACCTGATCGGGTATTTTCATGCCAAAGCAGCACAGCCAGGGTCCAGCTGGGCTGAAGCATCCCTCGTGTGACTTGCTGGTACTTGGAGATGAGCAACACGGTCCAGGCAGGCGACACGGCCCTGGCCTACAGCCCTGCCTATAAGCAAACTCCCACTTGTTTAGAAGAGACCAGCTGTAGTTTACTGTAAGCTCAATAGCAGTCAAAACCAAGTTTCCTTTATCTCTTCAAACAAAAAAATACACTGGTTTTTAACCCTGTATTTTACATTAAATTGAAGCAGCTGTGTAGGCAGTAAAGCTAATGTAAAACCACAGAGTTTCCATGCAGGGCTACTGCCAAGGGGATTGCTACACCACCACCACCTCTGTGTGGCATCAGTGTTTCACCAAACTACTCCTGTAGCAAGCCCCCTTATTTCCCCAGTTGTAGAAGATCCTTCAGATAGCCTTCACAATTTTCAAAACCAAACCAGATTAGTTCTTTTTTTACAGATTTCAGGGGCAAAGACGTCAGCAGCAGCAAACAGCTTTAGAGGACAATGCCTCCAGAGGGGAGAGATACCCAAGACCTGCTTGGTGAGACACCTTCTCTGACCTCAGCAACCAGGAATATCAGTTTTAAGCAATTTCTCCACATTCAGATTTTCCAATCTGCTTCCCACAAGAAAACAGCCCTTGGTTTACTAAACCCTCAAGCAATTCCCCTCATGTGCACTCCCAAACCCTACCTCTGCTCAGTGTAGGGCTGGATCTTCTGCACCGTGATGTCCGAGTCGAGGACCCCCAGCAGAACACCTATCTGCCGGATGAACATGCCCTTCTGCCTCTCGGTCAGCTGGCTGACATTAACATCCAGAATGATCTCCACGAGGTTATTTTTCCTAGGATCTAGTGAGAATGTAGACGAGAGAGAGATCTTTAGACCTTTTATTTAACAGACCGGTACAAGTCAGGTTTCTCGCATCTTTCCAGAATGATTCTGCTTTGAACACAAAATCAGAGTCTCAGTGCAGAAGGACAGAAGCCCATGACTTTCCCAGGTAAAGTCAGCCTCCAAGAACCATGTGGAAATGCAATCATTTCCTCCAGACTTCTGACCTTTTATAGTTCTGAGCTGGACTAGACTACAGATTTTAACCTGTGGACACTGTATCCAGACAAAGAGGGCTTCCTCCAGGCAGAGGTGGTACAGCACAAAACCCAGACTCACCAGGTTTGACTTCCACTGTGCTCCTTTCCACATCACTCTCTCCTTTGGCATCTGTTACTCTGAGGTGGAATGTGTACGTCCCTTCTACCAGGTTGGACAGGAGGAGAACAGGATGATGGTCTGAATTATTTAACACTTCCTGGAAGGCAGAACAAAATAAGTATCAGGAAAGCAAGGATGAAAGGATCATCATACTCATGGATATCCCTAAAAGGTAACAGATGCCACAATCAGCTTTTCATTTCCTCGGGAGCTGTCAATGCTACCTCTCACTGACTTGTGGGATGCTGCAGATAGACAACTCAAACAGAAACCTCACCCCAGCTGCAGGGCTCCCCTCATCCCGGGTCCACAAGTAGCTGACAATTCCCTTATCGTCAGAGGACTTCGATCCATCCAACTCGGCTGTATTTGTGGGCAAGGTGATGACAACATTACCAGCAATCTTTGCAACTGGCGGCTTGTTGATCTCTAAGCAAACAGAAAGCAAGCAGTTAGATCAAAAACTGGTAATGCCCCATCAACACCTACTGCATCTCCACTGTAACCCAGAAATCCCTGTCTGACCCTGGGGGAAGCGAAAGGAAATGATGCACTGCAGGATTCAGCTGAAGATACAATTCTTCCAGAAAAGGGTAAAGCTCTGCCTTGGAAAAGGCGATTTCAGTGCTCTCCACATTATTTTTCACTCATTCCTCACTCCCACTGTGCTGCTGAAGACAGGTTTTGCTGCACTGCTCAGAGATAAGCCGTGCCTCAGGGCTGGACGTACCTTCTTTGACAATGACGTTGACCGAGCTCTGGCTCTGCAAGTTCCTCTCATCTTTAACTGTCAGAGTGAACTCGTACGTCCCAACTTGCAGGCCTGTTACAGTGGCAGTGCTGCTGTTGGCATTCTCCAGCTTGACACCATCTGGGCCCCTAACCAGAGCACAAGAGGATCAGTTTAAACTTTGCACAGACCACAGGAGCTCACTGCACACCAAAACAGGAGACTCAAGCTCAGAGTTTATGAGGACGTAAAACGACAGCTGTCTGGAAATACGGAGTCCATGACAAAGAGCAAAATTATTTTCTCCAGTTACAAAACAATAATCAAAAGAGTAAGTGCAGCATTCAGAACAAAAAGCATCATTTCTGGTGGCTTAGAGTTTCGGTTATTTTTAAACCAGGGGAGCACTGATACCAGCATTTAAGTAAGGTTTACAAAAAGTGGGACTTTCAGCAAAATTGGCTCATGAACTGCACAATAAGCCAATTTTTTTTAAGAAAAGGTATAAAGCAAAAATAGTTCCTTCATTTATAAGAGCTTTGCACAGACTTTGCATTACCAAACAGAAAAAGCTAAAGCAAGTTGCTCATAGGCTTTTTCCTGAACACCCTAAAGCACTTCAGGGCATTTAGAGTCTGAAGGGAAGCATGACGAGAAGAGCAGAACACTGCTCATCCAAATATACTGCAAAAGCATCAAGTTAGAAGGCCCTGCTGCTGTTTGATCACAAGAGTCAGCCTCTTCAGAAGACCAAGACCACAACACTGCTGTGAATCGAACATGGGTGGTTTCTTGCAAGCCACAACCACACTGAGAACGGGAATCAGGCCTAGAGATGAAGGCAAAGCTATTTCTCATGTTTAAACAAAACTCCACCTCTCTCCAATTCAATATAAATCCTCATCTCATTCTAGTCACTGGTTTTAAATGAAAGACCCCGATACCTGCACAAGGACAGTATGATACACACCGTGTTTTTTCCCAAAGAAAGGAAACGATCTTCTGGTCATCCGAACTCTTGCTGCCATCCAGAGTGGTGCTGTCCACAGGAAGAGTTAATTCTTTATCTGGACCAGCATCTGCCTTTGGGGGCTTATTGTTCTCTGAAAAAGGATGCAATATTTTTCATACACATCCTATAAAACATGGACCTTCAAACCCCAGCATTAAGAACTTTCTCCACGATCCCTAGTCCATTTCCTGCCTGCTATCTGTACTGAAAGTGATGTTAAAAGCAGTTAAGAGTCCAGATCAGCGTTTTATTCACATATCTGAAATAAAATGAGAATGAAATCTAGGAATTCTGATTTTTGCTCTCATTCCCTAAGCATTACTCCACTTTTCCTGCTCCTGTCCCAAGACTGAGCACTGTGGGCAGAGACAGCTGCTTGGAAATACAATCCTGCCATCATGATGGGATACTGTCAAATAGACTACACCGTGTAAAATAAGAGAACAGCCTGGAAAAGCAATACTCCTAGAAACTTTCTTTAGTTCATTTATCAGCAATATACCAGCCTGGAATGGTCCTAAATTAGAGCAGCTTTTCTGAACGCAGCACAAAGCTACTGTAAGATCTAGAGGACGCTGACAGATCGATGCTCACCTCTAACCCCTGGAATGGAAGTGGCAAAACGAGCCAAAGGCAGCTTACCTGGCTGGACTATCACAGTGACCTCTGCAGTGGACTGGTGCCCAGCAGAATCAGTCACTATCAGCTGGTAAGTGTAGTCACCTTCCTGCATTGCAGAGAGCTGCAAGACCGGTGTCCTCACCCCCTGTGAGAAAACATTCATGTAGTAAAAAGAATCCTCACACAGATGATAGACCAGAAGACTGCTGGATTCTAGGGACTTATTTACTAACTCCTGCTATGGGGCCAGAAGTCTGTGCCACTTAAGCATGCAAGGCGCTTACAGCTAAATTCACACACAGCAACAAGGACGCTGCTGTGGAACATAACAAGAGCAATGCCACACAGGTGCTCAGACCTTTGGAGATTCAAGTCAGCAACTCAAGCAAAACCTCTGGGAAACCCCGTGCAAATCACACGCATCGTGAACCTGACTCATGGACTTTCTTACTCCATACATTTGACAGCAGCAATAATCTTTAAAAGAAAAACGCTGACATGGAAACAAGTTCCAGTTTTTTCTGTTAGGACTGAGGAGTGTCTGGCCACTATCAGTAAAGTTTCAACCCAAAAGATCCAGTCCACTGTGTCTGCCCAGCTCAGGAAACGCACACCATAGCACAATGGGTTATCCTGTGCATCTAAATGCCATCCTGACTGGCAGTTACCTAAAACACCACAGCTCAGCCACTAAGCCAGTATCAGCCTCATGTGGATTTAGTTTTAAGTATATATTTAATCATTACATGCTTGCTGTGTAGGATTATGAGAAATTTGCTAAAAGTCAATTAAAAATGGTTTGGATTATAGAAAAAAGGCCAGCTAGGGAGTAATCCAGGTTGAGTACCAGAGACCTGCACTGACCTGCATCTCCATCACCTTCCCTTTGCTGTTGGGGCTGAGCAGCCACTCGTAGCTGACGATGCTGTGATCATCTGTGCTCTGATTCCCGTAGAGGGTGATGGAGTTCTGAGGCAGGGTGATCACTTGGTTTGGGCCCGCATTGGCCACCGGAGGATAATCCACTGCTTTGTTCACTGTCAGGTTTGCAGTGGTGGAGTTGCTGGCACCATCTGAGTCCACTACAGTTAGACTGAACAGGGGGAAAAAAATAGTGAAAGCAGTGAAGAGTCATGGATAGCAGAGCTGAAAACAAAACACTGGCTGGAGTTAACTGAAGTGGCCTGAACACACAAACCAGAACTGCTCTGTGCTACGTCTACATCTGAACATTGATCTGATCAGTTCACATAACACAGTTTTCCCCTTAAGCAGTTGGCCAGTTATAGGTACTCAGGTTTATTTATTTTAAATAGATCTGCTGATGCAGTGCATGAACTTCACACCAAAATTCAGACCAAAGGAAAAACACAGAACAAACATTCAGGTAAAACCATCCATTACTCACGTACGTGCATAAAACCGTTAGGCCTCATACACTTATCTGGGCCAAACACACTGCATTTAAAAACTGGATTTAAAGACTGCATTTCTTCCTAAGCCTTTATCCAAACAGTTTAGATTTGACATTTCAAGAGACATTCTGTAGCACTAGCAGACCATTCGCTCCCTTCTGCCATCATCTGAAACCAGTGCTACAACTTCAGAATAAGAAGTAGCTGCACAGCTTATCTCTTCTGAAGTGAAAAGCTATGAAACTACCTGAAAATGCAGGACTGGAGAGAGAGTACATCTCAAAATAGAGTTCTCTCCATGTTGTGGGTGGAGTTTTTTAGGGTTTTTTTGTGGTTTTGGTTTGGTTTGGGTTTTTTTTTCCCAAACCAGATAATTCAGAAACCTTATACATTCTGCTCTAAGGAATGAGAAGTGATCAACTCCTCCAGGTACCACCTACCTGAACGTGTAATTCCCGGGTACCAGGTTGGTCAGTGTCAGAATGGCAGTGTCGCTGGACACCTTCTCCTCCCGCAGAGGACCCTTCAGCTCTTCCCAGTGATAGCTGACTATTTTATCATCATCAGTGCTTTCTGTTTCAATTATGAAAGAAAATGCACATAAAAGGAGTTAGAAAATGCTGCTTCAGAAAACCCTTCCTTTCACTACGGTGTATCTGACAGTCAAGCCAGTTCCTCTGAAACTTTATGCCAAGAGCACACAGAACCCAGGCTTGCCAGACTGCTGGATTTAAAAGTGCAGGTACTCACGGCTGCCATCAATGACAGTTGAAATGGTTGGCAGTGAAATCTCCTGGTACTGTGGGGACACGATGGCAACAGGAGGCTGATTCACCCGAGGCTCTGCAACAACAACCGAGCTGTTACAATGACATCTACAGGCAGATCAGGAGAAAAAGCCCTGGCCAGGGAACTCTGCAAAACTACTCTGTACATCCCTTTTCCTCTCCCCAGCCCTATCTACCCTCAGTCCTGCAGTCAGCGAGCCCAGGAGAGGAGTCCAAGGTGTGGGCTTGCTGTGCCACACAGCTCCAAGACAGCCGTCCATCAGACTGCAGAGAACTGCACAATCAGCGACAGCGACTCGTGCTTTCAGCCAGTTATACACCAACGCACAGAAACAGTGCTAACAACAGGGATTTGAAAAAGGAAGGCGAGCTGTCACCACTATAGTGCTCTGGAAACGGCTGCACTGCATCAGCTCTCCCATTCTGGGTCAAGCATTCAAGCACAGACCGTTCTAACAGCAGCACCCACAGCTTCGTGCCAAGGTTTGGCTGCTGCTCTGAAAAAATGAATGATTTTGATCCATGCTGCCAGCTGCAGATTCACTGCTTATGAGGAAATGATCAGCAACGGCATCCAGAAGGGCAGCCACACACTCTTGTTAATTCAGGGAGAGCAAGAGCACTTATTTGCCCACAAAGGTCTTGCTGAAGTGTGAGAAATAAATGGTTTTTGCATAAAAAGGAGATGCAGAACCTGTGGTTAATTCTTTACACGGCCCATCTAAAAAATGCGACCTGGTGAGCCAGCACAAGCTACTCTATCTACCCCAGCTCATCTGCAAACCACATCTTAGAGTAAGGAATGAGATTTGACTTAACCTGCCTGTGGCTGGGAATGATATTCTTTACTGGAGAGGGAAGAAAAGAACCTCCAAAGGAGCTTCAAAGCTCTGGCTGCCCTTCCTTTTCTGCTCCTGCTGCTATAAGCTTTTTACCCAGTTACAGCCACTGTTCATTGAAGCAGTGGCCTTCCAGGGCGAGACATTTGCTAAGCACTTTTGTATCAGTATTCCAGTTCTTTTATCGAGTGGCTGGCCTGCACGCAGTACAGCAGAAACAGCTGTGTGTGTTACTTTCACATCTCAGGAAATTACTTAATACACGTACGTATATACTGAGTTATCTGAGAGGGATGAAGGAAATATAAAATTCCACCAACTCACTTGGATTCACCGTTACATTCACGTAACCCTCTCCGCGTGCGTTTTCCCCATCGACGACGACTTTGAATTCGTACAGACCAACAGTCAGCTGGAAGTAAACACAACAGATTCTTTACCTTCAGGGTGGCAGCACCTTGCCAGCAGCTATGAGAAGGTCGAGATACCTTGCCCTGGCACAGCAGCAGCATAAAACACAGGCAGTTATGCTTCAACCTGCGCATACACAGCAAAGAACGGTTTCCACGCCAGAACAGTAATAGGCATCTTAGTTTATGATGGCTATGCAGAAACCAAAGCTTGGTATTTCTTTCTACCACAGGTGCCACAGGATTGTCAGTCAAGCTTTAGGTTTCTAGCAACACCAGGCAAACAGAAGAGAGGTAACAGAGATTAGTTCAGGTTGTCTGGCCACAGGAATCTGCACGAGCAGATTGCATTTGCGATGAGAAAGGCTGCAAGTAAGAGAAGAAAAATCTCTCCTTGTGTGTTTTTACAAAGGAAAGTATTTCTCCTTTTCCTTCTAGGTGACATGAGCCAGGCAATCACCCCTTCATCATTCACTGTTGAACCAAGATGAGAGGGTGATGGATGAGGTGCTGGAACACAATCGTGGTATCCAAAAGGCTGAGCCCCTGGCAGAGACAGACACACTCCCTGCTCAAAGGGCTTTTCTCTGCGTGTTGTGACTAAAGCCTGTAGACTTCTTCCGAGTGCAGCAGCATCCAAGATGCTCAAAGGAACATCTCATAAAACCAGACCTGTTTATTCACACAGTATTTAAAGACATTCCCTTGTAAAGAATCCCCACGTGCAGAAACCAGCAATCCCTTCACTGTCAGAGCTTGCCTAAACGCAGCAGCCAGGGACGTGCTACGAGGTACTCCACAGCCTCGTTAGTGCAATCAGCAAGTCCCTTTTTCAGTGGGCAGTGCAAGGCTTCAGACCCAACCAGACAACCACACTGCTTCAGTAGCAGAAATATCCACAGCCCTTTGTCAATGTTAGACTGTGCCATCTGTAAGGCTTGACACTGCTTGTAGGCAGCTTTCAGATCCTGAAATCAATTTCTTCTTTTCCTCACGCCAGATCAATCTCCTTTTTATAAGAGACTTAGAAAAAAGGCTTGCAGTCAAATGTTGGCTGCCTGCCCATCATGCAATTTCCTATTCATCCTGAAATCACACACAAGCCTTTCCTGGCTGCCAGGGCTCCCATCTTCTCCACTTGGCATTTAACACAACAGGATACGAAGCAGCAAAAGCTTTACCTTCGATAACTTCAGGGTCTGGGAGTGTTTCCCTTCCATTTCTCCACTGTAGTCTTTTGGATGAGTAATCAATTCCCACTCGTAGGAATAAGTGGTTCCTTAAAAAAAAGGAAGTCCAGATGTTAGTTCTTAAAAAAACTGCCTTTCTGCCATGCTAAAGAAAAGCAAAGGTATTAAACATTTACAAGGCACATTCTGCTGCACTATGGAGAAATGAGACAGCTTGGAATTTGGGCTGCAGCTTTTTGGGAATATACCCAGGAAAAGAGACAATCTGCTTCTGCACACATTTATTCTGGAGCCAAAAGCCATCTTTCAGCCTCTGAGGCACTGAAGAGCTTTGGAACAACCACAGCTCCAGGGTCATGAGCGAGAAAAACTGTGCCCTCAAATCCTGCAGACACAACATAATGCCATTTTTTGAAGAGCAAAGCATCTCATCCATCCCTGCTGGTGCACAACACGCCATGTGCTTGCCTCTCTGCAGTCTCCCACTGTCATTGTGGCCAGAGCAATGGTAAACAACTTTACAAACACCAGTGAACAATTTGCATGATCAAAACAGGAGTGTGCAGAAATGTGTTCCTCAGCATGCTAACCTCAAAAAACCCTCACTATTTTATGTGAGAGGCAGCATGAAGTAATAGCACAGGACAAAAGACTTCTACAGGAAAAGTGTTCTCTGGCAAAAGGCATTTTCAAGATCGTCCTTATTTAATGCTGCACACAATGCCATTTGCCATTTCACCATTGCAAGCCCTTAGCAGAATCCCCGGGGAAGCCTTACGAGGTGGTGGCTCAGGAAGCACAAACGCATTCAGTTGAACTTCATTCTTTGGCAGGGTCACTTCGACGCTGTCTCCAGCAGAAACCACCAGCTCCTTCATGGCTGAGAGGGAGAAACAGAATTGGAAGAGGAACAGAAAAAACACCTTAGATACAAACATAAAACCCACCTTGGCTTCAGAGCCTGTGGAATAAAAACCAGCTACAAATGGCTGTATTTTGTAAACACCCCGTCACTCGATACAGCTCCCGTTTCAGGTTCTGCTCTCATCGTTAATGCAAAAGCACTAATGGGGTTTCACAATTTTCAAACAAGCCCAGAATCACTCAGACGCTTCTCTCTTTGCAGGTATGGTGCAGCTCCTGCTCCTTTCCCAAAGAGCTGAAACATGACCCTGTGCAGGGGAGCCCGGCGGGACAGGAGGGGCTTTACCTGGCAGGGCTCAGCAGAGAGCCCAGCTGCAGGCCCATGGCACAGGCAGACACCACTATTTACCAAACTGTGATTTCAGAGCTTCACAAACACATCAAGAATCCACGGTATTTCTCGTCTGAAACACTGCCTGGGGGCTAAGAGGATTTTTTTTTTAAACTGCACAGCTACCACACTGAGTATGGAAACTCAAAATACAAACCTGTTCTTTATGTTTTCTTTTCAACCTCACTTAAGAATTTTCTTGCCATTCCATTTCAAATAAATTGACAGTCTGTTTGTCAAGACCACAGGGTAAAGACCTGACAACTATGGCCAGCGACAATTCTTGTTATTAGCATTAAGGTCACCAGAAAGTTGACTGCATTTCTTAGAGCACCTCCTGGCCTCCTCATCCTCCTCTTCCCTTCCCATTTGCTTTAATTTTGTCTTTTTATTATCAAGCCTGGGAATTATGCATGGAAAACGAGAATTAAAGTTGCTTTTCCCTATTTTGATCCTGTCAAAGACAATGTTTGAGATATGCACAAAAAATCCAAGTTAAAAAAGATGAGGAAAACGTCACTAAACAGGTAGCCTTTCTTCCATCTGTTCATTAGGTACTGGAATTAATCAGTTAACTAAAAGAAAACAAATTCATCACATTCTTTTTATCCCTTCTCAGTTACTCCAGATCCTGGAACACCACAGCTCCACCAGCTGCAAAGAGTTTCAAGGCAAAAAGAAATCCGATACCAGCAGGAAAAAGCCCCAAAAACCAACAAACAGACAATAACCCAAACCCTCGCTTGGGAAAACGACCCCTCACATCATCTTTGTGTTCCTTAGCAAAACGAGGAGGCTCTGGCTACGTTACTTTTCCAACACAAGCTGCTGAAGATGTTTAAAACATATTGTCCAGTTTTAGCTGGGGTGAGCCCTTAGAAAGCACAGTCACTCCTTGGTGCAGGCATCCAATCAGCTTCCTGCCAAAAATGTCTGTGGATGCAGCGTTCCCTTTACACTTCCCATTTGCTCCCCTGTAAGGGAAAGGAGCCCTAAATGCAAAAGCAATTCCGCTGTGAACACCTCAGCAAACAGGATTAACCTAGTTCTGAGGTATCACACCACCAGTACACACCGTTTGCCTTGCACCACATCTCAACTTACACTTGGGGAATTAACGTATCACCGCTGCTTTCAAGCTGTTCTTGGAAATGGATCCGATGGCCACCTGCAGATTTATGATGCCAAAGTCCCATTCTCACGAGTTAATGAGGTCCAATTGGCCCGTGCTCATGCATGTATCTCAGCACGTTTTCAAAGGCAATCTCTGAAACTATCCCCTATTTTTCAGTGTTGCAATGGACGTCACCCAAACCCGAGCAGCTGAACTTGCCGGAGCGCTGTGCTCTCACCTGGTGTGGTGGCAGTGGTGCTCGGTGACGCAGCAGCGTCGGGCCGGATTGTGGAAACGCTGCCGTTTGTGGGAACTCCGCTCGGCACTGAAGTCGCCGTCTGCAGCTTCGTTGTGCTCTTCACTGGCACGGGGCTGAGCGTGGGCAACGCCTCCGAGGAGTGCGGACGGACCAAAGCATCGTCTGCCTGCGCCGGCCTCTCGGTCCTCCCTGTGGCCGTCAAGCCCTGCGCTACAGCACTGGAGAACGTGGTCAACACTGATGGCTCTGGTGCAGATGTTCCTGCGTGGATCTGGGAAGGAAAAAGTTGTCTTAGTTTGAATCTTAGCTGAATCTCAGTTTTGTTTTACTGTGTTGAATTTGTATTTCTCCTTCTCCAGTAAGGGGTGCTGAAAGGTCCCTGGTTTGTTTTTCCCATCCCAGAAGCAGCATGTTTTACTGCCTCCTCTCCTGGATTTTCTCCCTCCACAGCAGACAGACCATTTCCAGCCCAGTTGAACATCAGTTAATACCATACATTTAACTACAGCATCTTAAATATCATGGCTGTTGATGCAGCAAACACGACAGAAGAATTCAAAATTGCAGTGAGTGGAGCTAAAAGAACAGAGAGGTGGGATAACACAGAAGTGAAACACAGGGGCCAAGTACTGGGGTTCATTTGGATCAGTTATTTTGGCCATCTACTCCTTTTTCTAAAGCTGTGCAGTTGCCAAGCGCAAAGCAGGAGGATCGCAATGGCACTTTTAGGTAATAATCGACTCGTTGCAGCAAGAGGAAATTTATTTCCAAATCGCTCTTCAAAGCAAGGTGACCTGACACAAACAGCTCCTTGTGTGCGTGCCACAGGAGACGCTGCCGGGGCAGGGAGCCGAGCTTTGCTCACATCCACACAGGATGAGCCACTTTATTGAAAACAATCAAAGTGGCAGCAACAATTTCCTCTCTTTCATCAGAAAATTCCTTTTACAGGACCATTCCCATTCCAGCTCTCAGCCTGCCAGGCAGTACTCTTGACAATTCACCTTCACCACGAAGTACATGCGTGTAGCACACTTTGTTGAGCTCACTCTACTTTAAGAGCATCTGCTAAATATTTAAAATGGAGCAATTCACATCTTTGAGAAGTGTTTTGGAGCTGCACTGCCCACTGCTGCTCCTCACTAGAGCAGCTGATCAAAAGCTCACGTTGGAGGAAATGTTCTCAAGTTTTCATACCATGCTGCTGGCGCTCAGTCCAGGAAACAGGAACTGTGAAAATGCTCTGGACCATGGTGGGCAACATCCTGGTCAGTAAATGGGCTGGGCTTCAGAAGTCAGCTGTAAAAATAAAGCCCTCCTGCACACACTGCAACAGCCAGCCAGGCCAGGAGCAGCAATGAAGGTTTCTCTGCAAGAAGGCTTTCTTGTGATCTTGGGCAAATCATTTCCTCTTCCCATAACCCAGCTAAATTCTCCCTCTGTCACAGCATGTAAAACACCTCAGTTCATTTGTATATTTGATTTACATCTGAGCTCCACGGACCAAAGAACCCAGCACTGGTTGTTAGTGTTACAGACATTGGCTGTTTTTCTCTACTTGCTTGCTTGTTGATGGGCTCTTTAATGAAACCAGGGACTCTTTGGAACAAAGATGCAAGCAAAATTGGGCACTCCGCTCTTCATCAGTGGCCTCAGGACACCCGGCTGTCCCAGGCAGCATCACCTTACACATTCACAACTCTGGTTGACTCAGGACACCAACTCCCTATCACCAACCATGCGAGTAAGATACAGTTAGAAATGCTGGCACGACAAGAGGGGAAGAGCCAGGCAGGACCTGGGACACTTGAGACACTCTTCAGGAAAGGCACAGGGGTAGAAAGTCCCCATGAGCTCATACCACCATGGGAAACCGCTTTTTGCATGGCATGAGTCAACCCAGATGGGTCACAAGCACAGCTGTCACAAAAGCCATGCAAGACACCAGCATCTGCTCACTGGGCACAGCAGCCGAGTCTCCACTTTGCTCAGTAAAGTTTTCAGCAGCTGGATGCTTCCTTGACACCTTTTTTAATGCCCAAAAACCCCCAGCTTCACAGTTAAGAGAGATCCTCTTCCTCCCAGAAGTCTTCAGGATGACTCGACAGCCAAATGTCTGTGGAGAGCCTGAATTCGATAAGCTTTGCCTGGGGCAACATCACAGCCAAAAATGCCTCTGATGCTTGCAAGCCGAGGCATTTCTTATCTTTACTCCATAACCCTGAATTCTTTAAAGCAAAGAACAGAAGATTTCGTTCCTGGGGATAAATGAGGAGGAGACTAGAAGTTTGCCAGCTGTCCTACCCTATTAGCTTAGAAAATAGAAGGAAGTGGGATAAGGGCCTGAGTGGACGTGGGAGTGTCAGACACTTTTGAGTCTGACCCCCAACTGCCTTGGGCTGGGACAAGCGACCTGAGCTCCCTGAGAGTCCTAAATCTGCAATGTGGAACGAGAACAGCTCTGTGCATCAAAATCCACCCTGAACCCAAGCTACCTGTCTTCTGGAGTTGTATTTTATTTAATTTAAATGGGCCTTACTTTGCTAAAAATGGTCTGAATTTACAGAACAGGCTCTTTTCAGCCCAGATTCTACTCTCTGTCATTTGCACAAGGTGCTGTGCCTCTGAAGACCTTTAAGACAAAAACCAGGCTGTTGTAACAACCCCACTTTAAAGGCTGCAGCCTTTTCCAGTCTCCTGCAGAGCTGCTGCAGCAACCAACTCATCAGCAGCGCTGCGCTGCAGTTAAATCCCAATCGGCTGTTAAATGCATCGCTGTATGTGTGAGTGAGTGAACTGCAGGAATTTCTCTGGGGTGCCTCAAGAGGAGCCCCATCAACACAAATGTGACTGCCAGGAATTCATCACAGCCAATATAATTCAGAAAGAAGTCTTTAATTTGATGAACCTGCATTTTCCAAGAGATCCAAAACTTTCTTACTAGCAAAACCTAGTAAAGGGGAAGAAAAACCTTTCCCTGGCCTACTTATGTGAACCTTATGACAATGTGAACACTTCCTAAAGATGGGAAATCCTGGACACTCAGCAATATTCAGAAGCTGGTTAACCCATGTGATTTAATATTTGCAACCAGTTTAGTGGACAGGCGCTGAGCAGTGATAATATGACAGCTCAGAATGCAACGCTGCAAACGCAGCAAGCAGGGAAATAAAACAATTATTACCAAGAGCAGCAGCAGACATTTAATACCAGCTGCAAAGAAGCCTCCCCAGACATTGCATGCATAACTGAGAGAATGGGGTCACTGTGTAAATCTCAAATATCAGGAGGAGGAATGAACAGGCAGGGTGGAAACGCTGCAGTACTGCAGGGGAGAGAGAAAGCTGAGATCTTGAGTCAGCCCTAAATGCTGCGGGCTTCTGGAAAACCAAACATTTGTGAAGTTTTAGTGCATGATTTCACACCACCCGGGCTGCCCTGGCGCTCTGAGCCGTGTCCCTTGGCTGCTCTCCACATCCTGCTCTGCTGGGTGGTGGCTTGGAGCAGTCACAGCCCTACCTGGAAGCGAGATTTGAATACAAGAGAGAGAAACAAATTCAGTCCTTTCCAGAAGGCATCAGGCTGCAACGGTGCCAAAGCCCAGAAACGTGGCAGGAGGTATTTAAGGAGCAGCTCCACAAAGCAGAATTCCTTCTCTTTCACCATCACAAGTGCGCGGACTCTTTTTGTCTGCTAAGGCTCAAAAAACTATTTGCAGACTTAAATTGTTAAGTGACGTTTGCATTTTGAAGTGTGCCAATTTCTCTTCAACATCCAGATTTACCAGCTTAACACTGTGCATGTTTGGAGCGAAGACTGAACTGCTTTCATTCAAGCAATGCCAATGTAAGCTTTTGTGGATTTGCAAAACCGAAGCAGCCTTCAGAGACAGAACAACAAAGTTGGCATTAAGATGCCAACTCAAGCAGGCTGACATGAAAGTACGCTGGAAACTATGCAGTTTAACTATAAAATAACCTATTAAACTGCCTGAGTTCAGCACTCAAAGGAAAACAGTTTTGTTTATTTTGTGGATCTAAAAAGGTATTTTTACAGGTTTCAACTCCCAGGCACTTCCCACTAACATCACATCTCACTTTTCCTTCTCCTTTGGCAATTACTTTGGCGTGATTATACAAAGGATAAGATTATCACCTCCATCTCCCCTCACCTTCCCAAAGACACTTTATCCCAGCTAGGAAGATGGGGGAAAACACCCTACCCCAAAAAAACCAAACAAGAACCTCAACCCTTGGCCTTGCCTTGTTGACAGGAGGCAGTAAACAGGCATCCAGGGAGGTATCTTATCACTTAGGCAGTTTTAAGTCAAAGTCTACGTGAAGCAACATTGAGCAGGAGGGCGTCAGCTGCCCAGGGCAGCCCCATTCCAGCCGCAGCGACCTCACTTACCTGTGGCAAACCAACACCGTCTGCATCACTTGATCTGTTCACATTATTGCTTTTGGGAGTGGACGGACTTTTGGTTTTCTGCTCTCTGGGATCCTGTCCATTTTTCAGCGAGTCTTTCTTTTGATCCGGATGGCCTTCAGGAACAGGCCTGTCTGCCACCAAGCGCCTCAGCACTTGATCCTTCAAGCGCTCGGCTTCGCTTCGGCTGCTTCGAGATTTGCTGTCGGATGCTCCGGCTGCAGCCTCACCGCTGGGGCTCACTGCTGCACCCCTTTGCAGGGGCTCCCACCTGTTACCTGCCAAGCTCCATCTCTGCAATGACCTCCGCAGTCTCTTTTTCCCCTGGACAGGGATGCCCCAGTCCAACCACTTGTGAAACCCGGTCTTCACATCACCTTGCTTTAAGGAGTGCTCTGTGCTCTTTGATTTCTTTAAAAACACCAAAACGGAGTCAGAAAAGCCAGTCCTGTTTGCCTGACACACGCCAGGCATCGTGCAGTTCACCTGGATGCACATATTTTCCAAGAACCAAAAAGCATCACAGGCGGGGCGCTGGCAGCAAGCAGCCTGACAGGACCGAACAGTGTGAAACCCCTCCAGAAGCTGGAAGTGGTGATCGTTCCACGACCTCAAACGGCCAAACAGGATCCTCCCCGGCTCGCATGTAGATCTGTTCCAGTTTGCATCTGGGAAAGGGGAGGGGAGACAAAGACAATCCTCAATCCTTTAAAGCAATGCACAGCAGAGCCTCATCACCACTGTCAAGATGAATTTAGGGCACAGTTACTTATTTTGACTAAAACCTGCTCCACTTGAGTAGTCGTTAGATCTTCTAGAACAGAGGCCTGCAAGGCCTATCCTCGCCACCCGCTCCACTGTAGTGCTTTCCATAACAGAAATTGTGTCAAACATGGTTTTTAAGAATCAAGTTACTTCAGATCTCAGATCAGCAGTAAAGCAGCAACTGCTTTGCATATAGATTTTTCTTTTCTTACCATGAAAAATTAAGAGTGCTTGCAAGGATCAATGGATTAAAGGCTTCCAAAATTCAGAGCTCTGCAGATTAAGGACTCCCTAAAAATAGACTAATGACCTATGGGACTGTTACACTGCGCTGTGTTCAGCATCCAAGTGATAATAGGTCACTGGAAGATTACTTTACAAACTATGTTGCTGGACTCAGAGTAGTGCAGCTGGAGAGCGTGCTCCTGACCTGGCTCCCTGCCTATCAAGAACGGAGCCCTTGAACACAACACAAATAGAAAACTTTCTCCTCCGTTCAAATAAAGAAGTCTGAATTATAATAACCTGATGCCCATTTGAGGGCTTCAAACTCCAGCCACAAGGACACTTAACCACACACGACAGAGATCACAAGAAACTCTGCTCTGAATCCCAGCTCATACCCAAAGTCAGTGACATAAAAGTGCAACGACTTTGCCCTTCCTCCTGCACCATCCCCAGATGGTCTCATATGACCCAGATAACATTGTATTTGTGTATTATTGTATACAATACAAACAAAGCAAGTGGGGAAGACAGAGGACATATTTCATCTCTGGAAAGATGAAAGATTTTCCACCAGGAAAATTCACCCAGCCTGTTCAGAAAATGCTTCCTCCCCGAGTCCTGCAGGAACACACCACAGGCCACATAAATCGTTGTCAGGAGAAGCCACACCTTTGCCAGCCTTGCAATGGGGCGCAGACCTCCACAGAACCTGCACTAAGCAGACACAGACCTGCACCAAGTGAGAGAAGTCGGCTGTGATTACTACAGAGTCACTAACTCCTGCTTCCTGAGAGAGCAGCCTCTTCACTCCCTTCCAACTCCTCGTGCCAGACCCTACACAACCGCACACAGGAGCTCGCAGGACGAGTCGGACCAGCAGGACAGCAAACGTGGTCACCAACAGCACTGCCAGCAGCTTCAGAGGAAAGCACGAGAAACCCGACAGCAGGAACGTTCCCGAGGACGAGCTCCCTCCAAAGCCCCAGCAGCCGACCCAGCCCAGCACAAACCACAAGACGCCTGCACAGAGGGTGTGCTCAGTCACTTCTTTATGTTGTCTGTGCCATTTTTTTCTTCTTCCCTAGCATATCAGTACAAAAAATGGTGCTTTTCTCAGGAACTTGGGAGTTCCTGTCCCAGCAATGCAGTTCACTGCTTTGCTGAACAGCAGGGGAATGGAGCAGACAAAAACAGTTGCTATTAATAAGCTCAGGTTCACAGACGTGCTCAAGCAGTTAATCCCTCCTGATAGCAGATTAATGATTAAAGACTTGACTCCATAGACTTTTTTAATCTGTCACATGTAACCAATTATGTCAACATAGTTCCTCTTGCGTAACCTCGCATGATAGCACTAATTTCTAGGCAGCCATAACTCCTCCTCGGTTTAACAAACGCTGCTGCCTGAGCGACACAGCCAAGACCAAAAGAATAAAAGCTCTGCAGTGGAAAGCGTCCACGTTGGGATAACTATGCCACATATAATTATATTTCTTTCTGTACATGCATCAGCCTTCGTGGTTTTAACTCCCCCAAGCAGATCAGCCCTCAAACACTGTGGAAGCGTCCCAAACACCCTCTGAGAGTGACACAGGACTCTCAGCAATAGCTCTACACTTCTAAGACATTGCTAAAGACAGGAAACGCCACGCAGGAAAAGCCCAGTCAACAAGGAAACACGCGATGCATCTGACACACCATCCAAACACCCAGAGCTGGGAACGCAGGCATACAAATAGCTCTTTCCAGGTACTAAAGTAGCTGATTAAGGTCACACAGCTCATTAGCTTAATCAAATCTGTCACTTGGTAAGCGTCCAGGAAGGCCTGGTGAAACAACAGAGATGCTGCAGCAGCATAGAGAACACGGCCACATAACTGAGGAACAAAGCAAAACCACTGCCTTTTCCAGTTTTTGACACAGCAACCTTCCAGTGAAAAGCAAGCAACAGGCACAGGGGTTGGTCCATGCTGAGGTCACCACTGCCTCAAACATGTAACTCACTGCAACCTGAACACAGAGGGGAACAAAGGCACAGAAACTTTCTGAACTAGGATCTGGTGAATGCTACATGGGAAAAATACCACCTCTTGGTGAAGGTGTGGCCTCTCTCGCAGGGACTTAACACATCTCTGAAAAGTCAGACTCTGAGCTTTTTAAATAAAAAAAAGACCCACACACAATCGATTACGTGAAAACTTCCATGCAAGCCACTAACTCAGTTGTTGACTTGAGCAGGAGGTTGGTTACTCAAGTTTGAACAGGAAATAAAAAACCAAACATAACAATTGCCTGTAGGCAAATACAGGTTGTTGACTTACTGCGTCTGGGGAGAGCCTTAAAGGTTTGAGAGCTAAAAAGATGTTCCTGCCTTCCCAACCTGCTTCAAGTATTCCTTAGATGAAATTATTCTCCAGAGTGCCACTTGTTCATTTTGCAGAAAAAAGACTCTGAGCTCAGAGAGAGCTGTCCATGAGATATACAGGCAAGTGCCTGAAAGGCAGCACTGTGTGTGGAGATGCACAGCAGTACTGTGGGACAGACAGACAGACACCCTGCTGCTGGCCACCCAACATCACAGCCGGCTATCAGAGCTGTAAGTGATATAAGAAGAAACCCCTCATGCCCCACATCTCTCCTACACATTTGACAGCTTATTTAGTAACTATTAAGGGTGAGGTTTTGTGCCTAGCAGCAAATAATTTCACTTTCCTCTCGGATATTTTTAAACAAGTCAGAGGGATAAATATCAAGACAAACACAGACGCAGCTCCAGAGAGAACAGAAGAGTCACCTGCAGAGGAGCACAAGGCACACAGGCAAGTGCACAGGCAGAGCAGCTGCAGACTTCTCAGCTCCCTCGCAGGTTTTCCCAGGCAGTTTCGTGGCAGAAATCGGGCGCTAATGCTGAACTTGGCTTCCAACTTCTTCTCCATGGCCTCTGTGGGCAGCAGCGGGGTTCTGGAAACAAGTAAGACATAAACCACAAAATGTCAACCCGACAGCCAATATGTTCTCGCACAGATCCAGTCGACACTATGAAGAGCACGGAGCATTTGTGGAGGAAAAGTAATGCCTTATCTTATCTGCTGTGACTTAGTCCAGCTGCTGCTAAGTAACTATTGATGTACGACACTGAAATGAAATCCACAGTAGCAAAGGTTCCAGCGTTAACTGCAGCAGGCCACCACGATGGCCCTTTTCGTCACCCTCATGATTTCTTCCTCCACTGCTTCCAGTGGCAAAAGGTCAGCAGTCCACTGGGTTCCAAAGACGCGTGTGGGAAATTTCAGCTTCAACTAAGCCACGGGGAACAGACACGCAGCCAGCATCAGGAGCCAAGCACAGGCACTGACAAACCCAGCACATCTGCCTGCCGATGTCATCGCTTGCATGTTGGTGCTGGCTGGTACCAGCCAGAAACAAAGACAGACAAGAAGACAGCAATGCTGAGAGGCAGGGAGCTTGTTTTACCTCACATTCTGCTCCACAGGGCACAGATCAGAAAAGCACTGATGCTCCTTCTCAGCCTTTCTGCTGCCAAAGGCTCTTTTACAGCCCCATACGTTACTGAAATCTAAACTAGCTTTAGGTGATGTGATACGAAAACATTAATTATTTCACAAGTAATAAGCATTATCTCTTTTCACAGAGTAATAAAGTGCCATGAGGCACAAGGAGTCAAATCTATTTCTGAAGAATCAGAAGGGAACACTGTTAGAAATCTGCCAGTGCCTTGCTTAAACTCATTGCCTGTTAAACGTGAAGGAATTCCACCCGCCCGGCAGCGAGGAGCGGGAGCTGCAGCAGCACTGAAGGGACAGACACGGCGGATAGGGGAAAACTTCGCGATGGGAGGTGTAAAACCGCAGCTGCTCAGCCAACAGGTCCGCAAGGAAACTTCCCTGGCCCCGGTCCACCAGCCCCCGGTACCCGTCGGTGCTGACCGTGCGGGATTGGGACGGGTACGTCCACACCGGCCGCGGTGACTCGGGGCCGGGGCGTAGGCACCAACCGACC